TCACCAGCACTCTCTGGGCCCGGCCCTCGAGGGGTACTTGTTTGATACTTGTTTGAACTGGCTAACTTGGAAATGATAATTTGTTTTTTGTCTTTAAAAATATAATTTTGTGTACTGTGATAGTTTTGACCCAAAGTGTAAATAGTATCTTCTGTTATTTCTCTGGAATGCATTTTGCACCTTAATATAATTTGTATCGCAACTGATGAGAAGCAATGTGTTGTCTGTATGTATTATTTGCATGGACAGGGCCCCGTGACAGTGTCAGCAAAGGTTTAAAATCAGAGGAATAGGGCACTTCAGTGGTACTCTGCTAATCAACCCCCTTGGGTTACTGTTTTTTTAGAAAGAACCATAAATATATGTGAGAACTGCAAAGCTGTGAAGCAGTTGGAGAGAATATTTTTTGCATTAGTGAGGTGGATAAAAGAGTAACTGAGACTATCAGACTGATGAGATGTTTGCTGGAGTAAAGAGCCAAAGGTCCAAACTTCAAATGAGAGGATATTTAAGTGTTGGTAATTTGGAATTTTTGGTTAGGATACAGAACAAGCAAAACTTCATATTTTCAAATACCTTGATGTGACTGTTTTTAATTTTCTTAAAATTTATTTTAGGCTCATTTTCATAATGAGAGTCTTATAGTTGGTCTACATGTGTAAGTAAATGTATCTACTGAATTGTTTGCTGTTCTTATATACATGTGCTCTTTCCTATTTTTTTTACCTAATATTTCCAAATCTCCTCTTTAAGGGAGAGTTTGAATTTTCCCTTACCATATAAGTTTCTCAGCTCTGAACTTTAAAATATTTCTCTATATGACAAGGTATACACAGGCTGGCTGCTGTTGAGGTTTATTTGATGATGGTCTTGGAAAGTATTAGAAAGAAAATTGACTCCAGAACATCTCTTGTCACTCAAGGATTTGTAAAATGGTTTTGGAACTTTGTTCTTTTGCAGTTTAATTCATGATACTGGTGTTAAACACTTCATGTTTATTATCTGAAATTTTCTTAAACTGTGAAGAAAGCAAAAGGTGAACACTAAGAATCTGATCTGTTTTTCACTGTTAGCAATGTATATAGCTTTCTTATGAAAATGCTAGCATTGGTTTTTTTCAGTTTGTTTATATCTGTACACCAATTATAACAGCCTTTAAAATTATTTTCTGACATAACATTTAACTTGAAAACACATTTGTTTAATTGCTTGCAAATAAAAGACTTTTAAAGTGTATGTTTGGATTCAAGGTGGGAACTTTCAAAATAGAAGCCCAAAGCCAAGTTTTCAGGGCTGCTTGATAGAGACAGAAAGTTATTTCAAAATGTAAATTGTGAATGTATGAGGGCATTTTCTTTAGAAGTTGTATGTCTGAATTTATTGTAGTCCTATTTTGAAGGTATTAATGAGATACTGAATCACTTCTATGTTGACAAATGATCACTTTTTATTTTCCCTTATGGATTTTTTGAAGTTGTACTAAGCATCGGAAAAGTTATTTGGAAAATTAGTAAGAAACAACTGCAAATGTGTGATAAAATTACATTTTAAAAGATTGTATGTTGGATCAGAATTAGATACTAAACCCCCAACCATATATATTTATTCCTCTTGAGTGCTAGGTCAGGCTTAAATCTTATGTAAGGTCATTTTGACTAGTAGGATGATGAAAGTGGACTGATAGATGGTAAACATTAAAATTGTTGGCAGGAAAAAGGAGAGTAAGAAATGACAAAGCCTTGAACCTTCCGTTATCTAGATGGCTTGGAAATTACAGAGCATATTGCATAACAGTTTATATGGAGAAAATACACTCTGAAAGCAGTGCCAATGATAGCACTTCACAGAGGTTGCATTTCTCTTGCTCCATGGATTGTAAGAAACAGTTCTGGCAGTTGTTACAGAACCGACTGGTTGCAGTTACTGATTTATCCCTGTTGAAATAGGTAAGAGTTACCTGAGCTACTGGTGTAACACTTTTCTAAATTTTACGAGTCTGTAGGTTCTAAGATGCAGTTACTATAAAGTTATAAAATAGTTTGTGTTCTGCAAGTCATGTAGTCTTGTTTTAGTTTTGTGTTCTGTCCTCTGGGATGAATTAGAATAAGGCAAAGCCTTGCACAGATGCCAGATAGAAGTGTCTTAAATTACTTACAGGAAGAGCTGTGCTGTTAATTGTATGTCTGATGCTATCAGGGGAATATGAAATGTTCACTGCTAGGTGTAGAGCTGTGGTTGACATATTTGTAATATGACAACATCCTGGATACCTCTGTGTATTTTGTAACGCAACAGTTCTTCACTTAGCAATGTTGCAAATGTAAGTGCTTTTTCATTTTACCAAAAAAACAGGTTTCAGGCCTGTGACTTTTTCTGCCTGTGACTTTTCAGTTTAATTTTTAATAGCGGAGTCTTCCCTTTCTCACCTTTCAGTTTCCCTTTGTATTTAAATTTTCAAGTAAAACTCCTTTTACCTTTCAATGACTGATGAAACGTACTTTAATGTGCATGCTTATTGTTGAACTTTAATATTTCAAATATTCTATACAATTTCTTTATAGAAACGATTACAAAAAGAACTATTGGCATTGCAAAATGATCCACCTCCAGGAATGACTCTAAATGAAAAGAGTGTACAAAATTCAATTACACAGTAAGTATATGAACTGTTCTATTTTTGCTATCAAGCTGAAAAATGTAAGTAATGAAAAGTCCTCTGCATGCTACTTCCTCTGCTTATTCCAAGTAACATTCTGAATTTTTGTTTTTAGTCTGGGGAGTGAAACATAGTTCAACTTAATGAGCATACAGCAGTAATGTGCTGGACACTCTCAGGAACTGCATAGTGAATTCATAAAATATTTATTAGGCATTTTACTGTCTAACAAAATGCCAATTGGTAAAAGCTTCTGCCTATTTTAAAATTTAACAATCTCTCATAGCTACTAACCTCTGAAACCCTTTCCTTTTCATACTTTTAAGTTTTCCAGTGTTGGTTCCATTACCTACTGGGTTACATACCATTTAATTTCAGAGTTTTTCACAGGTCCATTGCCCTTCCCCTTCAGATAAATATTTTAATAAACTGTATTGATGATTTCCTTGACGGAAAAGTAAAACACCATGAAAGAATACGTACTAGTTTGTTTTCTTCCAAGCCTGTTTTTTTTGTAGGAATAAACTTTGGAACAGGTCTTTTGCTTCAGCTTTGTTGTCTCACATTAACAGTCTTTTTTTTTTTTTTTTTGAACCGATGGGTCTGTGTTGAGTTCAAGTCATAATTACTTGTATAATTTGCAGCACTATATTAATGCCTGTATGTAAAATATCAAGCTTGTTTCTTTCAAATGTAGGTTTGATGTGTTATTCACTTTTGTGATAGTTATAATACTAATGTAGTGTTTAGAAGATTAGGCTGTGAGTGGTAATTGATTTGATTAGTCCTGTGCTTCAGGAGTAAAATTACAATTTGTCAGTCCACAATACTAACAGTTTTTTCCCCATTCCTTAGGTGGATTGTAGACATGGAAGGTGCTCCAGGAACACTATATGAAGGGGAGAAATTTCAGCTTCTATTTAAGTTCAGTAGTCGGTATCCTTTTGATTCGCCTCAGGTAACTGCTTTCTTACCTCTTGCTTAACACTTCCTTTAGGTTATAGCTTCATGACACATGTCGAGTATCAGTATAATTTACATATCCTGCTGTGAGGTTTAATTACTTTAATTTGCACTAAACACATTGTGCAGATTCCTTTTCATTAAAAAATGGCTCTGCAGTGAGGTGTAGTGCTGTGACAGTCTGTTTGGTTTTAGAGCAGATGAAAGAGCAGTGTAAACTGGAGGCTTCTTTGAGGTTGATACTTATATCATACAAAAGAGCATACTTATATCCTACAAAAGTAGGAAGGTCCCTTTCACTGGAGTGTAGTAAACAACAAACTGCTTCTTCATCCCCTTTCTTTTTGCTTCCAGCTTTTAAGTTTCTTGCATTTTCTCTGCTACCATTGTTAATACAGCTGAGGGAATACTGTGCTTGTGGTAGGGGTTCTCATACATACGTGACATCTTGAGAGGCCTGCAAGCCTAGTGATTCTAACCGAGGTGTGAGATAGTGTTACTTTCATGGTAAGGTAAAGGGCTGAAGGGGCAGCAATACTACTAGGCTGCAGAATGGGCTCTGTACATCCATCCCTCCAATAGCTGAGGAGAATAATACAAAATGTGGCTGGTAAGAGCAGTGTTCAGCTATCACCCCTGCTCTTCTGAAAAAGGAAGAAGAAAAGCAAGATCGTCTTGGTTCTTATCCTGTCTGTTTCAGCTCAGAGTTCCAAGAGTGAATCTCTGAAACTGAAGGAAGGAGCTGTGAGAGGCACTTAAACCATAAACATTACCTATTTTTAGCTACAGTGATAAGAACTAGAATGCTGACTTTTCATTCTTAGGTTTTAAGGAACAAACTGGCTACATGTGTTTCTGCACCCCATCAGGTTTGCAGTGAACTACTCATAGGTGACCCAGAGGAGAGGAGTCACTTTCATTTGGTTCCAAGTGCTACTGTTTGTATACATTACCCAACCTGTGTGTGGAGCTCTGTGCAATTTATTGTAAAACAGCAAATTAGGTCTGTACATGTACACTGATTTTTAGCACAGAAAACAATTCAGAATTTAAGTCCTGGATCCCTGATTGTTGTAGATGACTAGAATTTCTGTTATAAAAATTATGCTATGCAGTAAGTTCATTCTGTGTTACAAACCTCTGGGTCATAATTCTCTCTCCTGCAAATCTGCTTACTGTGAATTGAGTTTACGCATCTGTTGCTTAACCATGTGGTAGTTTTCTGCCTTTAAATGTATGTTGTCTATCATAGTGTGCATGCTTTTACTTATCTAGTATACTTAGTTCTGGTTTTCCTATAAAAGGAAGACATTAGTTAGAAGTGAAATACATTACAGGATTATGAAGGTAAGCTCATCAATGTTTAAGAAATACCAGTTTAAAGACCTATGAAAGATCATTCTGCATCCAGTTTTTCTACTGCCTTAGAATCCTATCTGCCACTTAGCGAATAGGTTAAGCTCTCTAATTCCAGTTTCCCATATGATGATGATGATGTTGCTTCTTTCTTGTAGTCAGTGATGAGGCGGGTGTGTTGTGTACACATTTGTACACATCCATATATCTATATAACTTAGGAAGCACTTAAGAGGATTCTGGGTATTACGAATATGAGTGGTAGAGATTTATTATGTCATTGCATAAAGATGACAGTGGTTATGTGGGATAAGGAGCTCAGGAGGATAATGCTGCTATGAAGGCTTCACTTTTACTCCATTTCCATTGGTCCCGAGCCAACTGTGTGTTTGACAAAAACTTGATGTAAGAGCGATTGTTGTTAAAAACTTATTTTTCTGACCTTTTTTGACAGTGATACTGTCTTTTAACAGAGTGGAGCTAAGGTTCTAAATGCTGTTCTTCCATATTCATCCATGTCAAATAAAAACATACTCAATTAGAAATAATGATCTAAAAACATTTATTATATGATAACATACTTCAGCTGTACAAGTCCTTTATTAATAGGATTGATGCATTTTACTCCTTGTGCTGCAGCCTGGATGAGATGTCCAGAACTTAATTTCTCTTGTGTCTAGGTTTATAGAAATACCTTGTTGTTTCCTGGTGTATAACGTTGTGGTTTATGAAATCGTTAAAATCCAGTGTTTTGGCAAGGCAGCTGTATTCCTTAGGACATGAAAGACTGAGGCTGCCAGATACAAGAAGTTTAGTTTGATGTCTTTACACTGTTACCTTTGCATTTTTCTATGCTCCATGAATATTCAAAGAAAAAAGCCTACATTAAACCATTTATTTAATGCCATCTTCACTAGCTATTTAGGCTTCCATGGTTTTGTTTTACACTACAGTTAATAGCTTCCAAAAATGAATGAATCTAACATGGTAAAGTGTATTTTTTAGTGTAAATAAAAATGGCAGATCCACTTCTTAAATAAGGTATTCTTGTTTTCTGAAAAGCAATGCAGTCTTATTTAAATTGTGGGCAATAAATTACAATTATATTTGTTCTTTTTTGTTTAGGTCATGTTTACTGGAGACAATATTCCTGTTCATCCTCATGTTTATAGCAATGGTCATATCTGTTTATCCATTCTAACAGAAGACTGGTCTCCAGCTCTCTCAGTGCAATCTGTTTGTCTTAGCATTATTAGCATGCTTTCCAGCTGCAAAGAAAAGGTATGGGCTTTTTTAGCACTGTTGGAGTAGAATAAGTAAAAGGTAGTAGTTTTTTACTTTGCAAAGTGAGATTTTAGTTTCTCAAATTCTAAAACAAGTGAAACTGCTGTATCTACATTTCTACTACTGAAAAAGTACTAAACTAGAACCGCAAAATAAGCGGTGCAGTAAGTACTTTGTCACCATTTTCAGAGTAAGCTGCTCATATATCGTTACTGGAAAAGAGGAGCGAATGGAACCTTTCTAGTTGTACTAATGGTGAAGTTCAGTCATGTTTTAGGGCAATTCTTTGTAAATTGATTCTGTCTCTAAAGGCAGTGCAAAATTACTATTGAAATGTCTTTAGTGCAGATGTTTGTAAGGCTTTGCAGCTGTACTATTTTGATGATCTTGATCCTTTTCATTACAAGAAAGTAAATGGTGTGAAGCTGCTTTTTTAGTCACAGATGAGTGGCACTGATACCTTAGACTTTTTTGTAAAGAGGATATCCTTTTGACTGTTTCTTTCTCAGTGGAATGTCTGTGGGAGTTAGATGTGATCAGAGCTTGTACATCTGTGTTATCCAAACGTGCCTATTTATGTCACATCCCAATCAGTCCTAGTCATGTGTATGTGGTAGAAAAACACCTCCAAAGTGGCTTTGTATTTTATCCTATAACTCTGGTTTTGTATAATAATGACACTTATGAGCAAGGCTGAAGAATATGAAGTGTTGATCAGATATAGTTATTTAAGTTCATTTTTTTCACGCACTCCAAGCTGAGATTTAGGGATGTGAATTGAATCCAATATATCAGAATTACTTTCCAAACTGCAAAAGATTTTTTTTTTTATTTTATTTTTTTTAACAAAAGCTGTTCCCTTTCTTCTGGATTGTTTTCTTTATTTATTTCTCCCCTATCTATCTCCAAACTGTTTGGTATTTTTCATTAATTTTTTGCTTGGAGTATCTCCAGTAAGAATTGTTACCTGAATCTTTAAAAGGTTTTTACTGACAAAGGTCTAGCCCTGCCTGTTACCTCATTTTCACTGCATTCACGTGGTAGCCTTTCATAAGCTTATTAAAATAGCTCACATATTACAATATGAGGATTGTTTGATTATTTGTAGGTCTTTTTTTGTGTTGCAGAGGCGACCTCCAGATAACTCATTTTATGTAAGAACGTGTAACAAGAATCCAAAGAAAACAAAATGGTGGTATCATGGTAAGTATTCAACTAGGACCAGGAATTTTGGAAGTGTTTTTCAGGCTGAAGGCAATTAAAATGCAGGAAAGTAGGATAAATCTGTTCAGAGCCTTATACTATTTTTTAAAATATCAAAAAATTATTAAAATCCTGTTTCTGGATACTCTGCTGTGATTTTTTTTTTTTTTATATCACATTTTATTAATTCCTGATGGAAATGTAAATAGCACAGATTTATATGTTGTAAATTGTAAGACTGAATTTGAGTGAAAGTTCTCGTAAACTGTGTTAGTCCATGAAAAGTCTTAAGTTTGGGGTTGGAGAAAGTCCGTAATGAAACTCGATTTAACTCTAAACCCAGAATTTTTTGTTGTTGCTGTTGTTGCTTCAAGAGCTTTTACAGCGATTAAAAGATGTCTGTATATTTGCTATGTGTTTTAATATATTTCCACCATTAATCAGAATTTCCAATGTGGGATGGTTGGCTTACTTAAGACTCTTAAGAACTAATAGTCAACAATATAGTAATAAGATTCTACATGTACATGATAAAAAAAAAAAATACCATAGCAAAATTACTACGTGTAGTAGTACTGCGGAGTCTGCAGTGCTAGTGTTGTGTTGTTTTGGATTTATTTTTTTTCCCCCCTCCATATGCTGTCTGTCTGACTTTGTGGTTTCTTTATTCTACCTTGACATTTGTCATCCTCTTCCCAGAGCTGGGGTTGGCTGTATGTGCTTGTCTTACCCACTCCATTGGTGAGGAAAGAAAGGAGGGGGTAGAGACAGGCTGTGCTTTTCTTCTCTCCTCTCTTGTCAGCCAATACTTTCTTTGCTTTCCCTGGGAAAATACTGTACAAATAGAGGTTATTGGAAGCCCATGTATTTTGGGAAGGGATGTGTTAGAGCACGTAATGCTGTATGCTAGGGTGATGCAGGCGGAGTTGATCCCATCACTACTTTTCACTGAAAGCTCCGTCATAAAACATCCCATTTTTCCCTGTCTCCCCACCCCAGGACATGTTCTGCCCCCTAAGTGAAATGAGACCAGGTATTTTGAGACAGCAAAAGTTAATGACTGGAGAGGCAAATGCCAAAGCCTTCACCCTTGGATTCTTAAAAGCCTGTGGACACCTTAACAATAAAAACTCGAGAGTTTCCTAATACCTGCTGAGATGCATGGGTTATTGATATATGGTAGTGTAACACAAAGAAACTCTGTTTCTTGTTTCTCATAGTTCTCTAGTAGTCTCTCTAAAACAAGGTCAGTTACAATGAGGAGTGCTGTATGTCATGGATTAAAAGGTGTTTAAGAAACTCGGGACTGTTTATTGTGTGGTTGTATATTATGTTGTTTTTAAAACTGACTCCAAGAATAATAATCCTGTTGCCCACAAGGCTGGGATTTTAATCTTCACCAGATTATTCAGTAATCACTTTATTTTCTCTTTCTGTTTTTGAACTCTTGTGCTGTGCTTGGTACTTCTCCATTTCTAGTTCTGCTTTCTCTTTATTGGCAATTTTTGGAGAGTTTTTATTAACTATTTTTATTTTCACTTGCTAGTTATTTTTAAAGAGAAAGAAGTAAAGCTTTTTTATTGGCTTTATCTTGTGATTAAAATATGTGCTGTCTGCTTTGAATTTGTACTAGAGTCTCATTTTGACTCAAGATTCAAGTCTATCAAGAAGAAGTCTGCAGATACTACTTCGATTTTTTTAATTCCTAAAATTTGAGTTAAACAAGCAAAATACTAAATGAGTATGAAATGTGGACTGTCTGACTCTGAAAGTTGCTATATAATTGTAGCTCAAAACCATCAAGCTGCTTATAAACCACCGAACAAATCATTTAATTACTTCAAATTAACTATGCAATGGCTGTTTTCTGAAAGTCAGAAAACCCAACCCCTCCCCAAATTCAGAGCAACCTAAAAACTGACCTGAGGCAAGAGAAAGCAAGTGAGTTCATTTAAATAACTCATACTGTTTTGCTTAATTACATTTTCAGTTTTTTAAACTTCCTTTTAAAGTACTAAATACAAAGGAGATCATAATTAAAAGTTCATTGAGCTTCCCTCCCATTAAATTCTTACATTAAAATATAAAACATACCTGATGTCCATTGGACAAACATTTTTTTAAATGCTAGAGGGTTTTTCCTTCATTTTGCATGTCACTTGCTCCTTCTCTCAGTTACAAGTAATTTTGTTTCTCTTCTGTGGACATATAACAAGACTGCCAAGGCGTGATCTTTAAATTTTCAGTGTTTTCTTGATAGGTGTGAAGAAATGGTGGGTTACACTAAAATGGGAAGCATAGCTTGCCAGCTAATTTTAACCACCTCAACCTTAACCTGTCTTCAACCTTATCTATACCTGAAAAGATTTACAAGCCCTTGGAAAAGGTTATTCTATCATCTTCATTTTCTGCTCTGGCTTCAACTAAAATGTCACACATCTAATCTTGTGGTTGAACCACCCAAGAGTAACCACTGGATGAAATAGGTCCCACTGCTAATACAAGAACATGTGAAGGGAGATGCAGAGTGGTTCTGCCCCTTCTGTTGTCAGCTAGCCATTGGACTGGCTTAGCTTTAATGTGAAATTGAATCCCTGTGTTTTGAAGATAAAGGAGAGAGACTGTCATCACTTTAAACAAATGCCTTTAAAACTTTTTTTTTCCAGTAGATGCCTGGAATTTGTTTAGCTGAGAGTAAATAGTGCATGACTGGGAGCTGGTGTAAAGCAAACTGATCTGAACACAGGAGGATAAAGTGGAACTTTGAGATATATTCTGACATGTATATCTGTGTCTCTGTGCATTTAGTTTGTTACAGAGTTTTTAATCTCTCATTTCATCCCTGTCCCAACAAAGCAACTTATTCTGTAAGCAGTGTTATGGAGCCTTGTTTGCTACAAACTGATGTCCTGGTAGGCCCTGTTTCAAAACTCCTGATCTTTGATAACTAAAAATATTTCTAGATTGTTGCCCCTATCCAACATCTCCTTCAGCTGTACATTGAATTTCATGCTGAATTTCAATCTGAGGGTTGATCATGCCATGTTAAAGATGAGAGGATCTTCCAGGTACAGTTTTTTTGGGCATCCAGGCTGAAATTGGTTTCATATAGCTGCTGCCTGTTCATGGTGTTGTCAGGAGGTAGATTTTTGTGAAGAAAACAATGTTTGTTTTGAACCAGCACCTCCTTAGTGCTTTTTTTAAGTAGAAAGTGTTTTCTCTGGTATTTGGCTTAAAGTTTTAGTACGCAGTTTAAATACCCCTTCTATGTCTCTTGCATCCTTATCCAATCATTCTTACAGGTACAGTTTTTTGTTCTTTACTCCCCTATCAAAATGAAATTTTTTTTTCCATGTAATGACATGTTTTCCAGTGAGAATGTAGAATTATTCGCTGCTACTTTATACATACTAATTCTGTAAACACTTAAAATACTGTTTATGAAGCTACATTTTCTAGGTGTGCAAGGTTACAAGTAAGTGTATTAAAAATAACCAGACAGTGAGTTTTCTTTCTGTTAACAAGCTTAATGTTTACTGTTACCAGATGTAAATATGCTGCAGGTCGATGGGTGGAAGAGAAAGTTTAAAAGGGAGAGCTTTCACAGGCAAATATTTACTTTAATATTGAACATAATGCAGAAAAAAGATTGCCGTAGAATACTCTTCTGGTTGTAGTATGTTCTGTTCAATCACCATATCTAAAGTTTAGTGAAAGTTCTTTTCACATTTAAGATTTTAGGATTACAATAGTAACCTATTACTTTTGCGTGATTCTGTCAGCTATAGTTTGTGTTGATTCTTGAGAAATTAATATGCTTACATATATGTATGTATAAAGGGTTGAGAATGCATCAGGAGAAGCCCATTCTGCTGGCTCTTATTGCTATATATTCCTTATAAAAGGATTTCTCATTTTCATAGCTGATGTGGACCTGCTGTACTTTAAGGGGGCAAAATTTTAAGTGTATTTGGTCTTTCATTTTTCTAATGAGTGGCTTTTTAAATACCCAATGTGGAAATTACTGTCCTCTTTAATGCAACATTTGCTAATACTAATATACTTGGGGATGTATGTGTATTTAGGAAGTTTTATGTTTAATATTATCTTCTTTTTTTCCTGAGTATTGAACAAAGCTGCAGAATTATTAAATGGGTGTATTTCCCCTGCATGTTACTGTCTGTGCTAGGAATTGTTTCCATGTACAGCACCTTGCTAATTGGGACTTGGAATGTTTACATGTTTTCCATAAATATTCTTCTTTTATTTTAAAGATGACACATGTTGATGCCACCATTTTGTGATCCTCGTAGCAGAAGATAGTCCTACTGAGAAAATGAGCACTTTGATCATTCAGTCTTTGAACTTTAACCTTTGACTGGAAGTGACCTATAGGCAATGAAGACTACTTCCTTTGACTGCATTTTTACTAGTGTGCATTCTGGGCGCATGTTGATCGCTGGTTCAGTCCATGCAACTGACATGCTTTTATTAGTCATACAGTATTAATGCAGGTGTCCAGAAATGTCAGAATAATTCCATTATTTTTATTTTAAGCTTTTGGAAGAATTCCAGGTCTTCATATATTGTGCAATAACACTGAACTCCTTGGCGGTTTTGGTGCATCCATTGCCGGCAATGGACATTGTACCAGGGAAAGGTTTTGTTCCTGCCACAAAAAAGATTGATGCATGACAGAGCTTATGAAAGTTTTGGATGTATTTGGATTATAAGCAAGGGATCGACCATTACCTTAAAAGCCACCCCATTCTTTTATATTTGGATTCTATGCACTGTGATCACAAAACGAGCAGCATGAGTTAACATGCTTAGCTGAAGGACTGTAATAAGATCCTTGCATATTTATTAAATTGTTTATCTGCTGTCAAATTATTTTGACATGGAAGGTTTTTCGAGTGACATTGGCAGAGAGGTACAATGTTATCCCTATGGTGAAATAAAACTCATTTTTGTATATAGTTATTCATATCTCTGAAGCAAAGGTATGAGTAATTTAGGGTATGAGTGATTTAACCAAGAATTTATTTTGGAGATAGAGGATGGCAGTGATATAACTGAACTTGCTGCAGTCCATAATTGGGCTTGTAATTTGTACTTTAGAGCTTTTTCCAAATAGATTGCACACTGTTATTTCCTGCTAGCCATCAGCATGAGCCCTACTGCCTACACCAATATTTCATTTATTTATGTGTTTGAAAGCAATCCATATAACATTTTTTGTTTGCATTCACTGTTTCTTTTGTTGTTGTATGTCATGTTTGAATGTTACAAAACAATATTTTGATTGAAAAGCTTTGTCAGAAGATATTTTCATGTAAATTATTTCTTTATCTTGTAAGCATCATCTTGTCTTTTAATCCTGTACTATAAAAAGAAAAAAAAAATACATTTTTGACAGAGGCTTAATGTTTTGACAAAAAAGTGTGGACCTTCTTATTTAAGTTTAGACTAAAGTATATTTTCTTAACTTGCTTGTCCCATGCAGCCATGCCAGTTTTTTTCCAGACTTTTATTTCACCAAAAAAGGGGGAAAAGCCTAAAATCAGATTGATGTTTTTTTCTATGGAGCAACATTTATTGAAACAATAGGTAGTTGTTTTCACCACTCTGTAATATTTTGATACTGCAGTTAGGTTGTCTTTTTAGGAAGCACTTTTATAAACTTAATAACTTTACACATATGCAATATTTCTATAACTTTTTTTTACTGTTGCCTTATTGTTGCACTCAAAAAAAAATATTCAAGTGATTAATGCATGAATATCTAAATCAAGTTAACTACTTGATTTAAAAACAAACAAAGGCCAAAAAAAACCCCCAAAACATCTAGAATGAATAACTACAATAACAAACTGAAAATTGGCTGAAAATACCAATTTTTTTCTTCTTACTGCTGTATGATAACTGAAAAGTTTTATAGCCTTGTACATACTTCTCTGTTACCTAATATTTAAAACATTTTTTAAAAGTATAGATGCTTAACTCAGGGTGGAGAGATTTCAGATGGATTTGCTTCAGAGAAGTATTTTGTACAGCAGCCGAATTATGGATCTTGCCAGTGAAGTGAGGCTACAATATACTTCAGGAACTGCTATTTTTTTACTGTATTCAAAATATCTCTTGGCCTTTACAACTCAATGGTAAAATCTAGCTTTGGATATAAATTTGACGTGTGTATATACTTTCACAGTGAGCCTTTAAAACATAGAATTAAATTTTTTTTTAAGAACCAAAAATAATAATTTTAAGTAAATGAAATAGTTCTGCTCCTAAATTTGTTTAGCAAAATTTTATTGTTGTGAGTTAATCAAACTGGTTATTTTTGGAAATGGTTCATGTGAAAGAGCAGTAATCTGATACTTAATCTGTATATTCATGTTAACTGCTCTATTGATTGAATGGATTGAAGCATCTTTGAGAAATTAATGTATGAATGGTTCACATAATAGGTCCTATCAAATAGGCCACAGGAAAGAGACCGTATTGTCACACCAGGTAATGTCTCTGAAGAAATGGTTCAAGTACATCTTCTCAGATTCATGTATCTTTTCATATGGTGGCCTGCCATAATACAATAGATAGTTTGGAGAAGCTTTACGACATACTGTAATGTATTTTGTTGAAGATTTGCATTGTAGTGCAAAAAATTATACGTTTTATTGACCTATACTATCACATGGACTACAGTGAAGTTAAATAACCAAATTTATGCTGCTCTTTAATAACTCCCCCCTATAATATACTTAGATCAAAAAAAAAGTAGGGTAGATTCGAAGAGAACGTACCTCAGGTCTTTTAGTTTACAGTAGAAATGCCTCCATTGGTTGTCTTGTAGATCTGTGGGTAAGTTCACCTATACAGAGAGCCAAGACAAAGCCTATATACCACTCAAGCCCTCGAAGTAATGCAACTATTCTGACAATGCTATGCTGTCCTGAAATAGGGCTTAAATTAGATGAAGGTGGTGTCATCCTTTCTCTAGGGATGACCCTGTGTATGTAACTTTCTTTCACTTGGAATTTCTCACATGAAATGGTTACAGCATTGGCTTGAAATGATCTTGGTTTTATTTTGTGTCAATGTTCATGTTGTTAAACACTTTGTTTTGTGTTTAGTGTCTTTATACTATAACACAATAAATTCTTGTTTTAAAATAGATTACTACCCTTGAATGGAAGTACGTGTGGACCTTTTCATGGTGGAGTGCAGAAGCACTGTTCCTTACATTCAGCTGTTCTTGAGACAAAGCTGTCAGTAATTCCAGAATGCTGTGATGGATATTAAGGGAGGAATTTGGATAACAGGGAGGTGTTTCCTCTTTTCTCCAGAGGGTATCTGTTGTAACAGCTGAAGGAAGTAATTTATTTAAAAAAAAAAAAAAAAAAAAAAAAGGAGAATAATCGCTAAAATGTAATGCTTTCATTTCTCATAGATTATCAGATAGTTCCTTATCATGGTTCTTTGCCATTTGACAAATACTTCAGATATTGAATGAGGAGTTTCAGATCCAGGATTTTTGTTTGTTTGCAGTTGTGGGAAGAGAGTTTCTGCTACTTCATTAGCATATATCAGGACTGCTAAATGACTCTTCTGCTGCCTCGTATCAAAAATTTATTTCAGTTTTGTACTTTTTTTTTTTTTTATTGAAGAGGTGATGACTTCTGTTTCAGAAAAAGTAAGGTACTTTTTGATACCTAAAAAAACTGATTTTTGTGAAAAATTAAATTTTTTAATTCATGTATCATATGTTATGAATACTGTTCTGGATGTTTGATTTTTAGTTACTACTTTATCTGAAAGTCTGACAAAATCTAAGGTTTTAAAGGTACGGTATAAGGAGACCATAAAACTCCCATGACAGTAATTCAGTTTTAAAGAACAGATTAAGCAAATGTCTGTCAGGAAAAGTTTAAATATAATTGATAATAAGACTTTCCAGTCATGTTCTAGGTGATTTTTTTTTAAAAAGATGTAAATATTTATTAATATAAATGGTGTCTTAAAAACAGAGGGGGGGGGGAACCACCTGTGGCACTCAAATTTCATAGATGTTCTGTTGTTACTAAAAGCTTTGTGATAGAATCACAGTGTGGCTTGGGTTGGAAGGGATGTTAAAGATCA